AAGGAACTAGTTAACCACGTACTAATCATTACACTATAGAAAAGATTATTTCTACTAGATTGTATAGGTGTAAAATTCATGATTTTGGTTATATAGGTATGAAAAGGTGTGATTTAGGTTATATGGGCGTGAGATTACACACTTACATAAAAAGTCCTGATTTAATTTACGTTGATAGGAAATGATATAGATTTATTAGGTTAGAGTGGTACTTTGTAATTCCAGCTGTATAAACATTTTGTAACTTTGATTTAAAGTAAACAGACGTCTACAGAAAAGAAAAACGTGAAAATAATATGTATTTTAAAAGCACGCGATCATCGTTAAGTTACTGTTTATTATTCCAACTTAATTAAAAATCTTGAAACCGCAGAATCATTCTGACTGGAAAAAGCCTCGAGCAATGAGTCTTGTGCCAAGGTTTTTTTATCCCGATCACCAGGAAAGCCGATTTTTACCGAAAATCCCCCAAGAAAGTCAATTTTTACCGAAAATCCTCCAATTTTTTACCGAAAATCCTCCCATTTGCGGCGCCCTTTGCCGCCATTACCGTCCCCCCGTTCCCATGGCGACGGGGCGGCCCATTCCATTCCTCCCCCTGCTCCCCCCCTCCCTCCGTCCAGACATGGTACGTTCCATGCAAATGAGCCCGCTCGCGCCACCAATCCTGCCTTCAAACCGGCGGCCAATGGGAAGCGAGAAGGCGGGGTTAAGGTGAAGATTGACAGCGGCCGCAGCCAATCGTGAGGCTTGGCGCCACACTGGGAACCGCTGACCTCTCAGAGGCGGGGGAGGCGGGGTTAATGCGATGATTGACAGCAGCAGGAGCCAATCGCGAGGCGCAGCGCCCCATCCCTCAGCGACCGCCGCAGCCGCCGCTTTCCCGCCCTCCGGCCGCGGCTTCGGCCCGAGACCCCCGAGACCCCCTCAGACCCCCGGGACCCTCCCGGGACCCCCCCGGCCCCACCATGGGCTTCCTGAAGCTCATCGAGATCGAGAACTTCAAGTCGTACAAGGGCCGGCAGATCATCGGGCCCTTCCGCCGCTTCACCGCCATCATCGGCCCCAATGGCTCCGGTGAGTCCCGGGGGGGCTCTCGGGGGGGGTCATGGCCGCTCCCGTGATGGTTTGAGGGGTGACCCCGAACTCTTTACGAGGCCCCGCTTCTGTTTCCTCCTCTCGCACTGACCGGGAGGATTCCCCGTTCCCTGGGGTCCCTCCTAAGGTTTGGGGTCCCCTCATTCCCCTTCACCCCCCTCACACACCCTGGGGTCCCCCCTCAGCTCTTCCCTCCCATTCCTTGGATTTATTTGCTCCTTACTCTTTCCTTGGGATCCCCCAAAAATTCCCGGGGCTTCCTCCAAGCCCCCCATTCCCTGAGGTCCCCCTAAACCTTTCATTCCCTGAGCTCCTCCCTCTTTCCCTGAGATCCTCCCTCAATTCCCAAGGCTCCCTCCAAGCCTCTCATTCCATGGGGTCCCCTCTAAATTCCTTGGGGTTCCCCCATTCCCTGGACTCCCCTTTCAATTCCCGGGGCTCTCTCCAAGTCCTTCATTCCCTGGGGTCCCCCAATAATTCCCGGGACTCCCTCCAAGTCCCCCATTCCCTGATTTTCCCCTAAATCCTCCATTCCCTGGACTCTCCTCTCAATTCCCTGAGGTCCCCCTATTCCTTGGGGTCCCTCAATAATTCCCGGAGCTCTCTCCAAGTCCCCCATTCCCTGACTTCCCCCTAAACCGTTCATTCCCTGAATTCCCATCTCTTTCCCCCTCATTCCATGGGGTCCCCCCCAAATCTTCTGGGCTCTCTCCAAGCCCCCCATTCCATGGGGTCCCCCCTCAATTCTCTGGGGTCCCCCCATTCCATGGGTTCCCCCCAATAATTCCCGAAGCTCCCTCCAAACTCCCCATTTCCTGATTTTCCCCCTAAACTCTCCATTCTTTGAGCTCCTCCATCTTTCCATGGGGTCACCCCTCAATTCTCTGGGATCCCCCCATTCCTTGGGGTCCCTCAATGATTCCCGGGGCTCTCTCCAAGCCCCCCATTCCCTGATTCCCCCCAAACCCTCCATTCCCTGAACTCCTCCCTCACTCCACAGGTTCCCCCCTCAATTCCCGAGGCTCCCTCCCAACTCCCCCATTCCCTGAACTCCCCCTAAACCCTCCATTCCCTGAACCCCCCCCTCTTTCCCTGGGGTCTCCCCATTCCCTGGGGTCCCTCAATAATTCTCTGGGCTCTCTCCAAGCCCCCCATTCCATGGGTTCCCCCCAATAATTCCCGAAGCTCCCTCCAAACTCCCCATTCCCTGATTTTCCCCCTAAACTCTCCATTCTTTGAACTCCTCCATCTTTCCATGGGGTCACCCCTCAATTCCTTGGGGTCCCCCCATTCCATGGGGTCCCTCAATGATTCCCGGGGCTCTCTCCAAGCCCCCCATTCCCTGATTCCCCCCAAACCCTTCATTCCCTGAACTCCCCCCTCACTCCACAGGTTCCCCCCTCAATTCCCGAGGCTCCCTCCCAACTCCCCCATTCCCTGAACTCCCCCTTCA